AAAAGTAGTTTCTCGCTCTGCTGCTCTTGTATTGGAGACCCCTCTTTCATTAAAATCAGTAACTCAGCCCCATCTGGTTTCCATGCTCATCCATAGACTCATTAAAAATTTAAATGATCTAGATTTAATTTATTATTATATATTATATTTATTAAAATAAAAAATTTATAAAATTATTAAATTTTTTATTTTTAATCTGATCTAGATTTAATTTAACAAGTTCAATTTAATATTAAAATTTTTATACTTGATGTATATTAATTATTCATATGTATTCTGTCCAGTCATTGGAATGAGCAGACAAATCAATTCCGTAAGACTAGTGCTATAGATTAAATAAAGAGAGGATTCAAATTGGTGTTCGAATAGGGTAAGAAGGAAACTAGCTAGTTGTCCTTAAAGAACGCAAAGCCAGCTATGGTATTGCAAATATGTGTGTATAGATAAATTTTTTTTTTTGCCAGAATGTATAGATAAATAAATATGTTGATACTTGATACACTCATTATTATTTTTATATTATTTTCTTTCCAAATATTTGTTAAATATGAAAAGATTAAATATTTAATTCCACAACAATATATGGTTGATGCTGCTCTTGCAACTTGGTGGTCCCGTTATGCTGCGCTTCGCAGGACCGGTGCTAACAATTTGATTTTTTTATTATCATAAAAATGAATATATGTGACATTACATGTTTTTAAATATAAAAATAAAAATAAGAATAATTTTGTGTGTGAATGTAATTATATTTTAGCTGGTGTAAAATATCATCAGCCACCAGTTGTGTCAAATTTTTCCCCCAATTGTAATCTTCTGAGATAAAGTAAGAATCAATTAACCAGCAAAGTTATCCCCTGCAATAAGATCACATGACATCGGTATTGTTGGACCCACTTGTTGATGATGGAGTAAGAATAAAAAATTATAGGCAATTACAACGTTGAAATAATGCATTCATCATTAAACTAATTTACGGAGAATATCGATTAACGATAGATGTTAATTAAAATGAAAAATACAACAAATACTTGAAGAAGAAAAAAATGAAACGCATCCCTATCTATATCTAACGTAACATTACAAAGATCAATTAAGATGGAGGATCTCAGACTCAGTCCCCCTCCTAGTAGGTTGCGTGGTCCTGGAAGCAGTGGTCCTAGATAGCTACGTTTCTATGCATAATACATTTCCGATCCGTTCCTCTTGATTCGTATATAAGTAAAATAATTTGACACTTATGCCCCTAGCTCGGCCCACTATAAACTGGTCGCTCGTCTCTTTGCTTCTCCGATCCTGAAACAAGAAAGGACATTGCCTTTAATTTGCTTGTCTCAAACCTTCTTACATGGCTTCCAAAATACAAGTTCACATCCTCCTCTTTTCGCCCTTCTTGCTCCTGTCTCACTTTTGACCTCGTCCCTGCAGGCTTGTCCAATTGTCACCTACAGGGGACAGAACAGGGATGGAGAGTTGGATGCAGCATGCAACACCGGAAAGTACGACATCATAAACATAGCATTTTTGAACACCTTCGGCAATGGACAAACTTCAAACATAGAACTCTCGGGGCATTGTGCGTCCTGGGGTGTTCCTTGCACTAAATATGCCTCCCAAATAGCCACATGTCAAAACCTAGCCGTCAAAATCTTCCTTTCTCTCGGAGGAGGCTAGGGGCCCTATTACCTTTCTTCAGCTGAAGAAGCCAAGGAGGTCGCAGACCACCTCTGGACCAACTACCTCAGTGGCCAAACTGGTTCGGCAAGCCTGCTCGGAGATGTGGTCTTGGACGGCTTTGATTTTGACATCGAAAATGGTGCAGACTTGCACTGGGATGTGCTTCTAAAAGAGCTCTACGCATACAGCCAACAAAAGAAGTTCTACTTATCAGCAGCACCGCAAAGTCCAATCCCAGATTACTACTTTAACACTGCCATCAACACTGGGCTGTTCGATTACATTTGGGTCCAGTTCTACAACAGCCCTCAGTGCGAATACACCGATGGTGGGGATACTCAGAAACTTATAGATTCATGGAACCAATAGACCACCGACTTCACCGCCACCAAGTTCTATGTCGGCCTCCCGGCGTCTCCCGAAGCAAATGGCGGTGCTGGTGTTATGTCCCAATTGGTGTGCTCAACGATGAGATTCTTCCGAATGTTTCTACCTCTGCCAAGTTTGGTGGGGCGATATTATGGAGCAGGTACTATTATTATATCAGGGTACAGCGATCAGATCGTGTGTACTACCCCTAAAGCTTTTAACGTCGTACGCGCGCCGTTGGTTGCCATGATGAAATCTGCCTCGGAGGTTCTCTCTGTCGTCTTTTATCGTAGTTCTAGTGTGACTGCAACCTCTCTCTAGCTACTATATATCATGTACGTACGGGATAAATTGTGGAACGCTAGTGCCTTTGATCGTCAAGTGGCAATTTGATTCTAAACAATTTGTCATCAATGAACAAAAGTTTAATCAATCGAGATAGTATAGTGGCGGCAAATGCTCCCACTAACTTTGAGAAAATTTACAAGTTAGTGTGGTAAGTTTTTAATATTAACCCTATTATTTAAGTCTTCTGAAATTGGAAATCCATCAATTTATAAACTTTTCCTTTTTTAAAAAAGATAGAGAAAATTTATGTTTTATAAGAAATAATAAAAAGAGCAAAAATACTAAAAATAAAAGGAATATTTCACATAAATTCATGATTCTCAATTTTCAGATCCCATCCACATTGGGAGGAAAGGAATGCGGGGCATCTCCTCAAAACCATGTGGTTTTGGAGAGATTTGTTGAATGTTAATCTTATAGTGTTTCAAAAGGAACTATGAATTGATTAATAGTATCAATAATCACCATTTAATTTCATTTATTTCTCATTATTTCCCAAAACTGTTTTTAAATTTTATTTATTTCTCATAAATTGATGTCATTAACAAAGATTCATTGAGATTTTATGTACTAAGTTTTATTGCTTTAGATTTGATTCATAAGTGAAAGATGCTAGATTCAAAATTATTATATTGCATGTAAATAACTCAGATGATTACGTTGTTCAAATGAATATAGGCCTTAGTACATATATACTAAGGTGTGAACTTGGGCTAATAAAAAGGTTTAAAGAAGAAGTGGGCTCAAACGCATAATTGTGCACAAGTTAGATGTGATACTACTTGAAAATTTTTCTAGAGACTATTTTGTGATGTTACAATATTATTTGTATAAAATAGCCTTCCAAAGTGCTTTTCCTTTTGAAATTAAATATGTGAAAGATTGTTGAATATTTTGTAATATCTTATGATATTTCAAAAGGAATTATGAATTGATTAATAATATTAATAACTATGTAATTTTATTTATTTCTTATTATTCCCCAAAACTGTTTTTTTTAACTTTATTTATTTCTCACTAATTGATGTCATTAACAAAGTTTCACTGACATTTTTGTGTACAAAGTTTTATTAATCTAATTCTGGTTCACAATCAAAATACATTAGATTTGAAATAATTACATCTCATATAAATAACTCAAATGATTGTGGTTCTTTTGACACATTTTGGGAAATTGTTGTGGTTGTGTTAAAAAGTAAAGTCCCAATGCTCAAAAGAATGGAAGCCTTAGGACATATAAAATAAGGTGTGAACTTGAGCTAGTAAATTTGTTTAGAGGAGAGATGAACTCACGTGCATAATTGCACCTGAGTTAGTCGCAATATTGGGCAATTTTTTTGGAAACTATTTTGCAATGTTATAATATTATTTGTAAAAAATAGGTTCCTAAAGTTTCTTTTCCTTTTGAAATTAAATGAGGGGGATTGTTGGATTGTTGGTATTTTACAAGGAATTATGAATTGATTAATAATATTAATCACTATTTTAAATTATTTATTTCTCAATCTTTCCTTAAATTTTTTTCATGGTATTAAGCTGTCACACCATACTGAACTTCCAAGCACTCTCCTCTCCTTCTCCTATTGTGCTTTTCCTGATCGTGATTTCCTCTATTATGAGACCTTGTTTTTTTTTTTTTTGTAGAAAGAGTTTGTTTAATCTCGAGGATCACTACTGCATTTAATCAAGTGTGACAAAATAGTTTTTAAGAATAATATCCAGACAAAACTTGAATTTCACCGGATATCCCAACAAGATTGATACCACCACATCCCACGAAGAAGGACTTTATATGGGGCAGCAAGATATATCAAATAAAATGGGAGAGATGTAACTGCATGCATTTCTTAAGTCTACAGGATATGGAACCCCACTTCTAGCATGTCTGATTTTAAAACGTAGACTACACTCAAAATTAGCACCACACAAATTGCATAATTCAAACCCAAGTTTGTCAAGTTAAACTTTCAAATTTCAATATACATCGTTTTTACTTTCTTTTTATAATTTACTTTATCTTAGAAAATGTGGGAAACGGCTTTGTTTTGAGGATGGATTTATCACATCATCCTCTTATTATAACAAAAATTGGGACGCTATTTCCATCTATTCTATCGGTAAGCAATGGCTAGTAAGCCGAAATCACTTTGTATTTTAAGTGTCTTTCTCCCACTGGTCCGTCAGCTTCAGTTGTGAAATAGCGCTTAGGGCATCCTCTGTCTTCCATTCGTTGAATACAACTTGCTTGGCCTTAAATTGCTTAAGAAAAAACTCATATACTTAATTTTATATATTTATTTAATGTGTCAGTTTTTAATTAAATCAAGACATGCATGCAGATTCTTTTTATATTATTTATCCTATATCAAATTCTTATGAGTAATATTATTAACACATTAAAATTAATTTGTTTTGATTTAATTGTATAAAAGTACATTAAAAATATAAGGTCAAGTATCTAACACCCCCCTTTTTTTTTTTCTATAACAGCTAAGTTTCTAATTTTTGTCCTTCATTTAACTGGTTTTTTTGGCACATGGTTCAAGTTCTAAAACCACATTATATATATATATATATATATAATGATTTGTGTAAAACGACTTCTCAACATGTTTTGCTTTAAGGACAAAATTTTTATTACTCTTACAAGAGAAAAGGCCAGTATATATATGCGAGATAAATGCAGGGTATTAAAATTTTGAATAAATTCGGCATGACTTTCCTATTTTCCGAGTTCAAAGGAGGACCCCCTAGGTGTTTTTTCAAATATAGATGAGGCTTCTTTAAACTTGAAGACCTGAGACCATGTTATGAACAGAATTGTCCATGAAGTTGTACATAATATCAAATAGTTAAATTTTAGTTGTACATGATAAAATAATTCCCCTTTTTAAAAGTAAGTAAATTTTAATCAATTCACACATTATTTAAACAAGTTATTTTAACATAATTATTATATCTCATAAAAATATCATAAATAAATTAGAACACAGATACTTAAACTAATGTCGAAGCTCAGGGGCCAAAAAAAAAAACTAATGTTGAAGCAATCAATTTTTTAACTCATGCCATTAATTATTATCCTCCTCTCTCTCAGACATCTTAACTCTCATGTTAATTATTTTATTGGTGCTTAGTGACAGTAACTGGAGACCAAGTTCAGGGTGTTTTGATTTGGGTGAGAAATCACGAGTTGCACAGTGCAAGGGTAAATTCGGAAGGTTGAAGATTTTTATCGCAATTAGTGCTCGAGCTAACAGAATCTATTCGTATAACCATGAGAAATGAATGAGCTTCTATAAAAATGGAGTTTTGGCAAAGTACTTCGTATTAGTAAAATTTTATTTCTGTGAAATTGTCCTATATTTTGAAATAACAAAATATTTTTAAAATTATCTCATAATTTAGGATGAAAGAAATATTATATTGTCTTAAAATTGTCCAAAAAAAAATACAAATCAAGACCACCCTTTTCAAAACAAAATCCCACCACTGGTCCCTACAGCTCCGGTAACAGCCAGCATTGGCGATGAGGTATTCGATGGTGGTTGTTGGAGCTCCAATGGTGGTAGCCAGAGCTTCAGCAAAAGTGATACATGAATGACTCCTTAGTCTTGTTTATCAGACAGAGAGTAAAGAAAAAATTTAATCATATTTATAATGTATTTGTCAATTCTCAATACTCATTTTTATATTTTTGCTTTTATTAAATGTTTTAAATAAAAATACCACTAATGAAATTTAAGAGCATTTATTAGGATAAAAGTGAAAACTTATTAAATTTTAAGATAGAGTTAATGCAGTTTAAGATTTTACCTAGTAAAACATGCTAGAAATGACTTATAAATAAAGCAAGAGGGAGTATATTTAAAAAAACATAAAATAATATAAGGGTAATTTTGTAATAAAAAATTTGAGACTTGATAGCAATTTGGACATTTCATAGTGCTTTAGATAAATGAATGAGTGGGGTGCATGATCGCTAGAGATTCGAAGTGGGGCAGATAAAAAAGGTTTCAGTTAATTTGTGTGTTTGTGAGGTACTGGGTAGGAGGTAAAAAAAAAATCATTTAGTTTAATTGTTATTTTTTAAGTTGCCTATTTTCAGAAATTGAAAGCTGTCAAAAAATAAAATCTTTGAGACAAAAGTTTTACATTTTGAATAAAAACAAATCATCATTACCTTATAACTTGTGGTTTAAACTTTTATTTGGTAGATAGACAAGTGATTTTCACTTTTAGAAAATATCCTGCGGGTCTAAAATTTTTTCTAATTTTCTTAAACTTTTAAATTATTTATTTTAAAAAAAAAATTCAGAGGAAGGCCCACAGATCCATCTCTGGATGTTGTTAGCACAGAAATTAACGATATCTTCCTTTGAATACGGCATGCCGTGTGACTATGCTTTTATTAATACTGAGCACTGTACCTCCATGAGGCCTTTAAAAAATATCGCTTCGTGATGTGAGAATCATCAATTATTAAATGTGATTTAAGGTGTGTTTAAATTTTAGTAGGATATAATTGATTGTTCAAAAATTAATTAAAATAATTAATTTTAAATATAATTAATTATGTTATGAGATATATATAATTGATTTATAAAATTGATTAATAAAATTATTTTAATCATTTAAGTAAAACTATATTTTTATGAAAATATATTTAAATATTTCTGTTATATGTTAAAATTAATTATGAATTTAAAATTATATTTTTCAAAAAATATTCAAACACCCATTATATATATCAAAATTAATTATGAATCTGAAATTGTAGTTTTCTGAAAAATATCCAAATAATCTCATAGATGTCAAAATCAATTATGAATGTAAAATCACGGTTATTTCATGAATTACTATTACCTCCTTTTTAATTTATTTTTTTAATTATATTTTTTTAAAAAAATTATCCAAAAATTATATAAATTATTTTAAAAATCATATTTTTTTATAGTTAATTTTGACATGTA